TCCTTGGGATTAGAACTTCAGGCAGTACATTTGTTGCTCATTTTGTCTAGGTTGAGAACTGCTGATCTAAATAGATTCACAGGCAGTTACCAGAAGTTTGCTTGAATGGTCAGGGACTTGAAAAGAACACAATTGGAAAATTAGTAACAAGAAAGTCTGGGAAAATACATGTGGGTAGGCCACTTTCAAAAAGAGATATTTGCGTCCTGTGTAGATAAGGCTGTTAATAATCAGGTAGACAAAGAACATGCTCTATGAATGTCCATCGTATTCTGCAGTCACTCTAGAGCTTCATCAATAGGACTGTGAAGGAAGTACACAGGGTGGTAGAGGGAGAATACGCAGGGGAGCTCAAATGCCAATAATGCAGCTGGATACCTCATTTGCTAACAACACAGACTGCATCCCTGATATGGCTCATTCCTCAAGAGGACCAGATAGCCACCCAGAGGCAGATTATTTACACTGGACCTCTTCTATGCTAGAGGAGGCAGATATTTGTCCTTACTGGAGTAGACAAATTATGGCAATGCATTTCCCTACATTTCTTTGTTAACACCCTTACTCAGGAATTACAAAATATTTTTCCTACAGTCTTAGCATTCAACACAAGACTGTTTTCCATCAAGGAAATCATTTCACAGGAACGAAAGTAAAGCAATGATTTCTGTTTCCCCCAATAGCCAGAATATAAGGGTTTCTTTTAAGGCATGGAAGTAGGAGTGGCTCTTCTCAATGCTATATCTAATAACTCATTCCCAAAATTTTTGTATCCTTTCCAAACTCTGAGTTCTGCTGGACTGAACACTTAATGCCCAAAGAAGGATTGTTTCCACCAGGAAACACAACAATGGTTTGTGGAATTAAAAACTTCCACATCAACACTAAACCAACAGTTTTTCCACTGACCCACGTAACTGATCTCAATCACCAAGAAGAAGCTGGGTGACTGCACACTATGTATACAGCCCAGAAGATCCTCTTCAGGATAGTACTTACATGTAGTATTTACATGTACTTATATGTAGAAATGCATATGTAGTACTCACCTGTGCACCAAAAAAAAAAAAAAAAAGCCAAAATAGGACAATTGGGGACCTTTGAGAAATGAAGGCTTTGTTCCAACCACCAGGTTAAGAATCCAGAGTAGCTGAGGTTTCAGCAAATGGCAAAAATACTGATTGGGTGGCGAAAAAAGGAAGCCAGAGATGATAACTATAGCCTTGTGACCCAAAGCAGAAACAGAATAGTAGCTTTTCATATTTTCTATGTTTATAGTATATACAATGGCACTTTAAAAATTTTGGTGGGAGGCAGGAGACAGCATTGTGAAGCAGCAGGTAAAGCTGCTGCCTGCAGAGCCAGCATCTCATATGGAAGCCAGTTCAAACCCCAGCAGCTCCACTTCCTTTTTTTTTTTTTTTTAATTGGATAGAATTAGACTATGAGTCTTCCTTCCATTGGTTCACCGCCCAAATGGCCGGCACTGCGTTGATCCAGAGCCAGGAGCCAGGTGCTTCTTCCTGGTCTCCCATGCAGGTCCAGGGGCCTAAGCACTTAGGCCATCTTCCACTGCTATCCTAGCCCACAGCAGAGAGCTGGACTGGAAGAGGAGCAACTATGACTAGAACCCGGTGCTCACATGGGATGCTGGCGCCACAGGCAGAGGATTAACCAAGTGAGCCATGGTGCCAGCCCCAGCAGCTCCACTTCCAATCCAGCTATGGACTGATGCACCAGGAAAAGCAGTGAAGGATGGCCCAAGTCCTTGGGACCTGCACACATGTGGGACACCAAGATGAAGCTCCTGGCTTTAGCCTAGGCCAGCTGCGGTCATTGCAGCCATCTGGGGAGTGAGCCAGCTGACGTAAGCACTTGCTCGCTTGCTCTTTCTTTCTCTCTGCTTCTCCTTCTCTGTAACTCTTTTCAAAGAAATACATTTTAAAAATTAAAATAAAAATTTGTAGAAAAATGCTACTAAAAGATTTTGATATAAAAGCTTCCTAAAATCATTACTTATCATAACATGTATTTCAACATCAACTTTTCTGAAGACCCCTTTATAAACATGGTTCACAAAAAATTTTTGCACCAAAGTGTATATAAATAAGTATCAGTTCCATTTCCCACAATTTTTTGAGGGATCCTCATTGTATTTGATACGTTATTCATATTCTCTTCCTCACATTTATTTTACATATAATTTGTTGGAGGCCAATTTTATAAGGTAGTCCTTAGTCAATAGGATATATAATTATCACAGCTAACAGTAACTATTCAAGCTGCACAGCTCTTTATTTGAAAATGAAGGTTAGGCCGGCACCGCAGCTCACTAGGCTAATCCTCCACCTAGCGGCGCCGACACACCGGGTTCTAGTCCTGGTTGGGGCGCCAGATTCTGTCCTGGTTGCCCCTCTTCCAGGCCAGCTCTCTGCTGTGGCCCGGGAAGGCAGTGGAGGATGATGGCCCAAGTGCTTGGGCCCTGCACCCCATGGGAGACCAGGATAAGTACCTGGCTCCTGCCATCGGATCAGCGCGGTGCGCCGGCTGCAGCGCGCCAGCCGTGGTGGCCATTGGAGGGTGAACCAACGGCAAAAGGAAGACCTTTCTCTGTCTCTCTCTCTCTCACTGTCCACTCTGCCTGTCAAAAAATAAAGAAAAAAAAAAAAAAGAAAATGAGGGTTAAGAACATATAAAGGATACCCATAACACATTAGGTACCAAGAGTTGTTTTGCAATTGAACTGAACTTCAAACATTTCAAGGCATTCATATGGAGGCAAAATATGCACAGAAATCGACAATGTCAGTTATTTATCATCTCTCAAATCAAAATCTATCTATAAATCTAATGCATAATTGTTTTCCTCTTCCAGTAGGAAATGTTAATGCATTGTCAGTGGAGGGTTCTGAGTTCTGCTGGTTTGAAGTTTCAAGTCTGTAGGTGGGGAATTCCCATCCTCAGCACTGAAAACTGTCTATGTCCTATCAGGGGTAGGTCTCCTTCTTGCCAGTACTGGTCAGCCTTTCCCTTTGATCAGACTTGGCCGGGTAACAGACAACCAGCTCTGGGCGACAATACACAGTGCATCTCTCCAGAAACTACTGGGCTACAACTGATGTTTCCTCCAATAAAGTCTGAATTCTCTCTTTGGGAAGGGACCCTTTTCAAGTTTGTTCCTTCCTTGGAGACTCTCCCTTAACTGTAAGATATCCTATTTTACCATCTGTAAAAGGTAATTCCTCCAAAGATACAGTAACTTTAAACTGTCCCTATTTCAATTGCTGTGTGGTTTCATCTCTTGACTCTTAGGACATATTATCTATCTCAAAGCTGGCTATAGGTTATAAATTAGACTACTATTATGTTCCTTCTCCTATACAAGGTAGCAATCATATAATGCTGGTATAAAGAACATATACTGGGGCCGGCACTGTAGCACAACGGGCTGGCTACCTGGGCTGAAGCACCGGCATCCCATGTGGGTGCCGGTTCTAGTCCCGGCTGCTCCACTTCCAATCTAGCTCTCTGCTGTGGCCTGGGAAAGCAGTGGAGGATGGCCCAACTGCTTGGGCCCCTGCACCCGCATGGGAGACCCAGAAGAACCTCCTGGCTTCGGATTGGCGCAGCTCTGTCTGTTGCAGCAATCTGGTGAGTGAACCAGCAGATGGAAGACCTCTCTCTCTGTCTCTCCTCTCTCTGTGTAACTCAAATAAATAAATAAACCTTTAAAAATATATATATATACTGGGGCCGGCACTGTGGCATACGGGGTAAAGCCGCCATCTGCGTGAACAGAATCCCATATTGGCCCCAGTTCGAGCTCCGGCTGCTCCACTTCTGATCCAGCTTTCTGATCCAGCTCTCTGCTATGCCCTGGGAAAGCAGTGCAAGATGGCCCAAGTCCTTGGGCCCCTGCACCTGGGAGGGAGACCCAGAAGAAGCTCCTGGCTCCTGGATTCTGATCGGCACAGCTCTGGCCATTGCAGCCAACTAGGGAGTGACCCAACAGATGGAAGACCTCTCTCTCTCTGCCTCTCCTTCTCTAACTCTTATGTAGATTAAATCATTTGTTTCTCTGAAATAATCTATAAAATGTTCTGTTATTAGTCCTATTTTAAAAGTCAGGAAACCAAGGCACAAAGAGATTAAGCAGTACGATCAAGAAGTAGTAGATATGAATGCATGCACTCTAGCTCTGGAGTGTGAACCCTTACAGAGTTCTTTCAAGAGCTTTGAGCAGAAGCTTGCTAAAGTTTCATGACAAGGCACCAGTATTATACCTGTTTTATAGACAAGAAAGCGAAAATGTGTCCTAAATTATGTTACTGAGGAAATGAGGTTTCTAATCTGCTTTAACTTAATCCAAAACTCCAATCCTTAACTATTACAACATATTGCCTATCTACAGTCAGTAAAAGCAATGAATCCAAAATCATTAGATGAATCAGATTTCTTACTAAGACCCAAACGGGAAGAAGATACTATATTACAGTGTAACTTAAAGCACACCCTCTGAAACATGCAATACTAGTTGATGCCTACCTAGTGTATCTATAGTACCAATAATAAGCAAAAGCGTTTTAAAAATTTATCAGCCAAGGTCAATATTTAGCTTAGATGTTATGATGCCAGTTGGGTCACTCAGAACTCACATCAGTGCTTGGGTTTTGACTCCTGATTCTATCTTCCTGGTGAGACATTTCCTGTGACTTATGTGGGCGATCTAGATTGAGATCCTGGCTACTGGCTTCCACTCCAGCCTGGCCCCAGCTCTTTCAGGCATTTAAAGAATAAAACAGTGGATGAGGGCTCTGACTCAAGAACTACCAAAAAACACACAAAAGAAGAAAGAAAAGGGAGAAGGGAAGGGAAGGGAAAAGATCACTTACTGAGAGAAGTAACACATCCTACAAAGTTTAAATATATAAGACACAAAATAAATAGTTGCAATGTTAACTTTGCCTACCACATGTACTAAAAAATAAATGTAAATATACCTGCATGGAGGCAAGACCATGGAGTCTTTCACAAGCACAGATCCAGAAAGCAGGATATACCAACATCTGGCAATTGTTTCTGAACTGTTTAAATAAGTAAATACAGGAATAAGTAAATACGCATGTTCACATGTATATGGATTCAATATAAAACATGAAATATATGCTGATGATATTACATACCATTAAAAATTAAGTAATACTTAGAAATTTGGGGAATTTTGCCTACAGTTTTATAAAGACCGTGTTCACATAAGGAAACAGACAATTCTTAACAGGTAACACAGAGGGAAAAACAACTTCACATCACTAGTAAACACATAATGCAATTTATAACATTAAAATACTTTTAGCAAATTCTTACAAATTAGCCTATATTATCGTGGCTGTGAGGAAAACTGTTTATTAATTGTTTAGTGTTACTACAAATCAAAATCAGCACTTTTTTTCAAATCAATAAATAAACAGCACAAGACAAAGATATTACATCCTTTAGCTCCATAGATTTATCTCAAGGAATTTATCATTGAGAGTAATTGTTATGTCTGAACAGAATTTCAGATGACTTCATTTATTATAGCTTACCTGTTTTCTAACTTTCCTATAATTATCTACACAATAATACAAATTAGAAAAAATATACAAGTATGTAATATCTAGTCATAAAGGCAATCTACATGTCCAATATTATTAAATGATTGCTAGCAGTACACCCTTAACAGACATGGTTGATAATATAAAACCATCACAAACTTCATGTGGGCTACCAAACCCGCCTAGCAAACAATGTATCTCCGTAACATACACTGTCACTTCTCTTCATTATCAAATATCTTCCCCTTTACCGTAACTCTGAACTGATGATTTTGATTTCTATTTTCACTGAGGAAATAGAAGCAATCAGAAGAAAATTTTCACCATCAATTCACTTAGCATTCTCTACCACATCAAGGTGTCTGCCGATACTATTCTGCCTATCCAAACAAACAAACAAAAACTGACAACTCTCCAGTGGAAGACAGATAGTATTTCTATAACTTTTTACACAGTGTCAGGCACTGTGTTGAGCACTGAATCAAAATTTACTAACACTGGGGCCGGCACTGTAGTGTAGTGGGTGAAGCCTATCATGCTGGTATCCAACCATATGGTGCCAGTTCGAGTCCCACCTACTCTACTTCAAATCCAGCTCCCTAAGGCGCCTGGGAAACCAGTAGAGTGCTCAAGTGCTTGGAACCCCACACCCATGTGGGAGACCAGGAAGAAGCCCCTGGCTCCCATCCCCTGGCTTCAGATTGGCCCAGCTCCGGCAGCCATTGTGGCCACGTGGGGAGTGAACCAGCAGATGGAAGATCTTAATCTCTCCCTGCCTCTGCCTCTCTAACTCTATCTTTCCAATAAATAAATACATCTTTAAAAAAATTACTAATATTGTTCAGAGTAAAATCAAGTAATATAAAAAATAAGAACAGAAAAAATATCTGCATTTAATGTTCAAGAAAGAAAGATGGAGAACTAGACCAAGGCACTGGGACCAATGAAAAACAGAACAAAAAATAAGAATTCAAAAGGTAGATGCGTTTAATACAAGAGCAGAAGATAATCAACAAATGAGAAAAATGAGTCAGTAGCAAACAGAAGATTAAAGAACAGAGACAAAAGATCTGCCTCTCTCGGAGCCCACTCTAAACCGCTTCCGCAGGAGATCTCTGACTAGACAAAGAACCAAGGTTGTCTTTCTTCGCTGGTGTTTCACCAGTACCATTTTTGGTGCCATGATCCTCCAACTACAACCTGACGGATCTCGTTCAAACTCGACTCCAGCCATCATCAGAAGGCCTGGACAGAAGGGTGAGCATGTGGACTGCTTTTATTTCTGTTTTCCAGAGAGCTTCACTCTTCCATAGTAACTCTCACTTCCTCGAGAACACAAGGTCCCCGCAGGCCAGTTAACAGCAGTTAGCATTGCTGCCGGCCTTAAGACAGGAACTAGGCTTGCTGATTAAGACAGAGCAATCCCCTGGAGCTGAAACTCAACTTCTAAGTTCTCTCTTCTGTGTGGACTGGCACTTCGCAAGGGTAGGGAAAAGGCCCTGAGATGACTGAGGAACACTGCCCAGGGCACATCCCAGGACGTTCTGAAAATCTCTTGGCCGGACCCCAGTGCCTGACAAGCCCATGTAGGGGTTGGCCTGTGAAGCACCACCTCTCTTACGTGGACTGGCCCTTCGCGAGGGACTGGAAGAAGGCCTTGAGATGGCTGATGGATCCTGTCAGGGGCCGCATTCCAGTGCTTCCAGAAGGTCTGTTGGCTGGACACCTGACCCTGACAGTGGGAAAGGTTTTGGGATGGAAAATGCATTTCCTGTAGGGAGGGTCACTATTGAGACTGGGCTCAGTAAGGAGTAAAGGTCATGGGCTCCATGACCCACTGACCCCTTACCTTGCCCCAGACTTGAATGCCTATGACCTGCTCTTTTGGAGTCCTCAGGAGCTATAACACTAGAAGCTCTACCCTTCATACTTCTCACCTCAGCTCTGGTCTCAGTTTCCTTTCACGGGGATGAGCCCATCATGGGAGCCTGGGAGAAGGTGTTGGAGTCAGGCCAGGGCCACTCTCTGGTGTTTTCCAAAGACTCCTTGATCAGCGAAAGCCTGTTGCAGTGTCAAGCTAAAAACTGCATTCTGCTCTTCCCTCGGGGATCAGTTTGTCAGTGAGACTGGGTGCAGTTTGGAGCAAGGACATGGGCTCCAGGCTGCATGCTTCAATGAATCCTTTCTGTAATCCAAACCCTGACAAGATCTGTTTCTCATGCTAAATGCTCTACAGGTTTCCTTACATCATCAGATCTCGAAATTCCTACAAACTTGAACTGCTGGTCCCGTTGTTAGCTGGTATTTCCTAGATATCTCATTAGTTTTGGCTCAGAGTCCAGGTATCAGACAGGCATTAGATGTAGCTCCCTACGACAACTGACCTTGTGTTGACAGATCCTCCAATATGTTCTCTGGTAATCCAGAAGGCTGCAGTATCCAGAGAAAAGCTGTCTGGGTTACTGTAACTGCTCAGCCTGTCCAGATTAAAAGATACATAGGCCAACTTACTTTCTCAGCTCTCTATGTAGCCCCTCCTGACTTTGGCTTGCCTGATCTGCCCAGGTCTGTCCCTTTCCAATCTTGGAAACTTTGTGTCCGTATGTGTGTGTGTGGGGGGGGGGGGGGGATAGGAGGGTTGTTGGGGTAACATTCAATGTGTTTGGTCAGCAGCCAAGGCCCTGCACCTAGTCTCAGCCCCCTCTACTAAAGGATGTCTGTCATATGTCTTGTTTACCCTTTTTGTTTAGTCACCATTTTAAAGATACTGACAAGGACTGCTTTTACTATTGACCAGATTTCCTGTAGGGCCATGTTTTCCAATCATATAAATTTTTCTCCAGAGTTCACATTTTCTTGCTGAATTACAAGTTTCTCTGTCCCTCTATTTAAAACTCTTCTGTTCGGTCGGCGCCATAGCTCACTAGGCTAATCCTCCGCCTTGCGGCGCCGGCACACCAGGTTCTAGGCACGGTCAGGGCGCCCGGATTCTGTCCCGGGTGCCCCTCTTTCAAGGCAGCTCTCTGCTGTGGCCAGGGAGTACAGTGGAGGATGGCCCAAGTGCTTGGGCCCTGCACCCCATGGGAGACCAGGAGAAGTACCTGGCTCCTGCCTTCGGATCAGTGCGGTACGCGGCCGCAGCGCGCTGGCCGCGGCGGTCATTGGAGGGTGAACCAACGGCAAAGGAAGACCTTTCTCTCAGTCTCTCTCTCACTGTCCACTCTGCCTGTCAAAAACAAACAACAACAACAACAAAAAACCTCTTCTGTTCTCCAATTGTCAATATATGCCTTGTTAAAACCATACACCTCTGTTTGCTACTGACCTAAAATGTATAAAGGTCTGTGAAACTTTGCTACACTTTTAAAGATGCTATTAACTACAGAATTGCTATTGTTTTTTATTATTATTTATTTGACAGGTAGAATTATAGACAGTGGGAGAGACAGAGAGAAAGGTCTTCCTTCTGTGGGTTCACTCCCCAAATGGCTGCTATAGCTGGCGCTGCGCCGATCCGAAGCCAGGAGCCAGGTGCTTCCTCTTGGTCTCCCATGCAGGTGCAGGGGCCCAAGTACTTGGGCCATCCTCCACTGCCCTCCTGGGCCATAGCAAAGAGTTGGAGTGGAAGAGGAGCAGCCGGGACTAGAACCCAGCACCCACATGGGTTGCTAGCACCACAGGTAGAGGATTAACCAAGTGAGCCATGGCGCTGGCCCCTGAATTGTTATTGTAATCTTAACTAGTTTAACTATTTTGTCATCCACAATGTGATCCTCAAAAATATGTCTTTTAACAAAGCACTGTTGGTACTATGCTTAATTGTCTTGTTTTCTAGGCTCAACGTTTTTCCTAAGACTCCTAGGGCTTGCTGTGTAAAAATCATTTACCTGTTTCCTACCTGGATTCAAAACCTAATGTAAAATAACTATGGGTTAAAATTCTGCTTGTTCTATTAAACTCTCCTAATGAGCACACACTGCTATCATATGCTAATCTTTTTCAATCAAGGTTTTCCTGTGTTTTCTAACTGACCTAGGTAATAGTTTTAGGTATCTCAAGGAAGTTCCATGAGTTTTCTGTTGCCTTTATTGTGTTAAACTACTTTACAATTTAAATCTTAAAGGCTTTATCTTTATCTGATTAGATCTGTTTCATAGCTTTAGTTGAAATGCTCAGGTCTGACTTACACTGACCAAATGGTTTAAACATTTAACAATTCTTTCACATTTGAAGCCCTAAAACCACGTCTCTGACATTGAGGCTTCCAGCCGAATCCCTGGAACTCTCACAAGATGAGACTTTCAATTGAGAGATACTAACTGCCTTATACTTTGTGTTATCCTGGAATAAACAACCAGAAGCCATCAAACTCCAGGTGGTACTTCAGACAATGCCCCTGAAGCAATCCTTATTCTACTGGGGACCCTTTGATCTGACTCTCTGAAGGATGCCCTGCTTCTGTCCTGTGAGGACACCCCTTTTCAGCATGAAGCAGCCAGAATGGTCATGGCCCATACCCCTGACAGAAGTTAGGGTCCAGTCTTCTGGGGAAAGGAATGTCAGGACTTAGATGGGTTAGTAAGCAGTTAGGTTGGTCCAAGTGGAAATGAAGAAAGGCAAATCTGAGATGTAATGCTTGCTTCCCCTCAAGTTATCGTTAGCAATCAAGGTGCCAAATCCCACTGGATGTTTCTCCCCAAAGGCTGCCTATCCCACTCCTTGGGAGCTTCCAGTTTTATCATGAATGTTAATAAAATGGCAGTCTTACCTGTGGCGCAAACCACGCGCCGGACACCATCCTAGGCTCTAGCCCCACCCACCACCACCACTGCTGGAAGACAGGTGAACACATAGCCCAATCACAGTTGTCACCTCCACCCAACCATAATGAGACTGGCTGCTCCTATTTCCCTGTCCCCTGTCTCCCCCAACACACACAAAGGTTTCACAGGAGCCATTTAGTTCCCGAATACATGCTCTCTCTCACTTATGCTCTCCTACTCTCTCACCCTCACCTTGGCTGGTAGGCTTCCCCCTTCCTCTAACTACTGTGTTTGGTGTGTTTTGTGGTGGCCTTACAATGAGAATAGCAAGGATGTGGAGATTCCACCCTTCTGAGGTCTGAGTTTACCAAGAAAATAGATCCCAACATTCTGATGATTTTTTTGTTTTATCTTGAGCAAGCTAGAGGGGGCAAATTCAGCATTGCAATGGGTTCTGTCCCCACCTTCTAATTCATTGCTAGATATTGTTGGTTTTCCCCAAATTGTGCTTAAAAACCATCCCCCTAAGCCTCTGGGAGTTTGCCTCTCTTGGAGCTCCCCTGCAAACTAAGCTTCCGACTTAAATGAATCTAGATTTTACTAATTTTTCTAATCCACATTTTCAATACTGTCCAAACAGTGCAGGTTACAAAATCATACATGGGTAAATGGTCTATTCAAAGTTCAAGATAAACAATTTTTAATGTAATACAATATAACAAGTTCACTGATAAATTATCAGAGTCCATATTGTACCCAACTTAGAAGAAAGCTCTCAAATTTTAGAACTGCAACAAAGATTACCTAAAATCATTGGAAAAGGCTGGCAATATATTTTTTCCTTCATTCAATAAAATTATCATGCAGAAGATATGAGAAACATTATCAATTGTCATAACGTAATAGCCATTAGATATCAGAACTGCAACATAATTTTTTTGCTTTGGGAACCAGTTGCTTTTCATGAAATATGTCTTTATTACCTTAAAATGATTAATAAGTATTTTAAAATAAAGGAAAATCTTGAATTCTGTATTACACCATAAACAAAAAAAAAACATTCCAAGACAGACTGTAGATCAAAATTTAAGAGGCAAACAGTTTTGTTTTGTTTTGTTTTTTTTTTAAGATTTTTTATTTGACAGGTAGAGTTACAGACAGTGAGAGATAAAGACAGAAAGGTCTTCCATCCGATGGTCCACCCCTCAAATGGCCGCTATGGCTGGAGCTATGCCGATCCAAAGCCAGGAGCCAGGTGCCTCTTCCTGGTCTCCCATGCGGGTGCAGGGGCCCAAGCACTTGGGCCATCCTCTGCTGCTTTCCCAGGCCACAGCAGAGAACTGGACTGGAAGAGGAGCAACCGGGACTAGAACCCAGTGCCCATATGGGATGCCAGTGCCGCAGGCAGAGCATTAACCAAGTGCACCACGGCGCTGGCCCCCAACAGTTTTCATACATATCTACAAGCATATTATATGGTTTTAACAAAGAAAAAAAGCAAAAAAAAATCTTAAAGATCTACTAATTACAAAATAGCCTGAACATATTGTGATACAGTGGATAAAGCCACCGCCTGTTATGCTGGCATCCCACAATGAAACCAGCTCATGTCCCAGCTGCTCCACTTCCAATCCAGCTACTTGCTAATATGCTTGGAAAAGCAGTGGAAGATGGCCCAAGCGCTTAAGCCCTTGACACCCACATGAGAGATCCAAATGAAGCTGCTATCTCCTGACTCTGGCATGGCTTAGCCCTGGCCTTTGTGGCTATTTGGAAAGTAAATCAGCAGATGGAAGAACTCTATTTCCAACTTTCAAGTAAGTAAATAAATCTTAAAAAAGGGGGGGGGGGGGCTAGCAATATGATACTTGTAAGAAGTCCAAAACAGGCAAAGGTCATCTATGATGGCATAATAACTATGATTAGCTTTCCAAAAAGGAGTTGACTTAAGAGTCTTTTGGAAAACTAGCATGTTCTATGTTTTCATACAGGTAGTAATTACACAGACATGTGTATTTATTAAAATCTGCTGCAACGTATGCATCACCATTTATGAACATATTTCAATTCATGTAAATTATTTAAAATTACATGAATTTGAGCTAAACATCAGAATTTAAACAAAAATAATTAATGTAAGCCAATTATAGAAATACTTACCAAAAAAGAATCTGATTACCACTGTATCTCTCATAGCGTGCTCTTGCAGACATTAATCTAACATGTTTAGAAAAAAAAAATCCAGATTTTATCTTGCAGTTTAAAAAATTAATTATAATAGCAAATGACCAAATCAACCACTAAATTTTCTCTAAACTACAAGCACTTAGAAATATATATAATGCAGTATTTTCAAAAACACCAGGTAATATTAAGTAGCACTGTCTGTGAAACTCTTATGTACATTATAAAATTTGTCAATATACACCAAATGTTACCTTTTATTATGAAAAAATATACATACTAAATCCTCAGTGTGAAGAAGTTATCAGCAGAAATGAAGCACTTAACAAACATATAAGTGAACAAATACATAAATCTGCTTGCAGTTAAAGTGTTTTTATAAATACAATTACAATGATAAAAGACAACCAAGACAGTCACAGTTCTTGACCACCAAGTTTATGCCAAATCAAGAGTCTTGTTCCTTCCAATTTAATACAATACTATTGTACAACATATCACGCCCAACTTAAGCATTTGGCATAATAAGTATCAATACAAAAAAAAAAAAAGCAGCAGTTTTTATTTTCACTCATGCCGAGCACTCCACTTTCCCTTCAATAGAGATTTAATACTCCATACACTGTAACAAACATACTACCGTTATCCTTACTATATGGAAGACTCCCTTAAGGTGTCATGGCTAAGAAAAATTAGCATAAGAAATACAAATTCCAGGTTACATGTCTGGACTAATAGTTAAGACACTGGTTGGGACAACCATATTCCACATCAGTGTGCCTGGCTCCCTGGCTCCTGACTCGTTTCCTGCTAATGTAGACCTGGGAAGCAACAGTGATGGCTCAAGTGGCTGGGTCCCTGCCATCCAAATGGAAGACTTGTGTTAACGTCTCAGCTCCCAGTGGATCTCTACTACCCACATGGAAGTCCAGGATTAAGTTCCAGGCTCCTGGCTTCTTTCTGGCCCAGATTTGGTTTCTGTGGCCCTTTAAGGAGTGAAGCAGAGGCTGGAAGATCTCCACTCCTGCAACCCCTCTCACTTTCTCGAATAAACTTTTTGTTTTTTAAAGTGAATCATCACATAGCACAGGATTCTGAACATAGCACCATACTTACCTAAGCTGATGTTCCCTAAGGTTTGATAATATTTCCATTCCATGAAGATAAGAATAAATAGTATTTAAATCCTGTTGAAGAGAAACATTGTTAATTATTTTTCAAATATACTTTTAAAAATGATACCCCAAATTCTGATTTTTAAGGAAACAATCACTTATGACAGAGTTTTCAACTACAGAAGAGTGATAAAACCTCTCAACTGCAAAAGATCTGAAAATGCAGACAAGAGCTCGCTCAACAAAGAAACTCCTACTCACCAAGGTAAAAGGCCGTTATTCAAATAATGCCAGAAGCAAAAAACTTATTATTTCATATAAAAGTCTATGAATCATTTTTCATCCCTAAGCAAATCTAAGTGATTATTCCACAGTAACCTCCAAATATCTAAAAACAGTTATTATATCTTTGTCTACAACTTTTTTTCTTCCAGATTATACAGCTTCATTAACTACAAATTCCAGAGCTTTAAGGGTTCTGGCTGACATCTCTAGATGACCAACTGTTATTTCCCTTAAAAAACAACCTTTTAAAAAAATCTCTTTCTCAAGAGACTAAAACGATATAATCCACTCTAAAGAAAAAACATGACCAATTGCACAGTGCTACTGTTCATTCCATGAAAGAAACGGTACTTTTCTCCAGCCCTCACATACATAAGGAGGTAAAGGAGTATTTCACGACTGATGTTATTTATGATTGCCAGTGCAGTGATAACAAAAAATAGAGATTTGGGGCCAATGTTATGGTGAAGTGGGTAAAGCCACTGCCTGCAACGCAGGCATCCCATGTGGGCACTGGTTCATGTACTGGCTGCTCCATTTCCAATCCAGCTTCCTGCTAATGGCCTGGGAAAAGCAGCAGAGAATGGCCAAACCATTTGGGTCCCTGCCACCCACATGGGAGACCTGGAAAAAGCTTCTGGCTCCTGGCTGTTGCAGACTTTTTTGGGAGGGGTGTGTGGTGAATCAGCAGATGAACACACTTCTATTTCTCCCTCTAACTCTGACTTTCGAACAAATAAATCAATCTTAAAAAAAGACAAATTTGAAACTCTACATAAAATACACCTGTATGTCTCATTAATACAATTATCTCCTTATTTCAGGACAAGCTCCTACCACGTACACTCTGTTGCTTTGATATGCAATTAAACAGAATAATCAGATGACCATAGAGAAGCAAAGAGGAAGACAACCTGCTTTCCAACAGGAAACCACTAAGATAATCAGCAAAAATCCCTATTTCTGAAAATCACAACTGCCAATTAACTATGATAGATTGAACAGCCACACTATCTCTATTAAATTCTTACTAAAACCATAGGGGAAAAAGATTTCTAAGTATACAAAAAGGATACGCAGTATAAAAAGGAAGCCACAGCAAAAGAGAAAGGTCTACAAAACCTTGAAAGATAGAAGTAGTGATATGGCAAATTATATTTCCAAAGATGGCCACAAAGGCATTTCTTGTCTCATATGCTCTTTTCTATTGGGATCTTGCATTTCCTCCATCCTCCATGGATCTGGGCTGGCCTTGTTATGTTCTGACCAACAAAATGTGTGTGCATGAATGACAATTTCAGGGAGTCAAGGGTATTGACTCCATTAAAGCTGTAAAGAAGCCCATATTAGTCTTGTGTTTTTTTTTCTTTAATATTTATTTATTTGAAAGAATTAAAGAGAGAGAAAGATCGTCCATCTGTTGATTCACTCCCCAAATGGCTCCAATGGTTGAAGCTCAGCCAGGCTAAAATCAGTAGCATGTAACTCACTCGGGTCTCCCAAGTGGGTAGCAAAGGCCCAACCACTTGGGCCATCTTCCCCTGCCTTCCCAAGTACACATCAGGGAGCTGGATGGGAAATGGAGCAGACAGGATTTGAATTGTATGGAATATCAGCGGTGCAGGAGATGGCTTTACCAACTACGGCACAACGTTGGCCTCCCAAGTTAGCCTTAATGGGAAAGGCCAAAAGGACTACCTGCAGGACCATAGATAAGTGAGTGATGCCTTCTTAGACCAAGTAAGCTACCAAGTAAATGGAACTCAAGAAATGATCCCAGTTGAGGTTCTATGGGGCAAAAGAACCACGCATCTAGACAAATTGAATAGAGATAAGAGTACTGGCAAAAGCTTGGCTCACAGTGGGCCAGCTGAGCCTGTAAACCTATCTAATAGTCATTCTTCATTCCCTGAGATCATAGATAGAATCTATATAGTTGGCAACTAGAATAAGCTCCATAATGGGCCCAAGACGTTTGTGGCAAAAGCTTTCATAGTAGAAACCAAGTGGGGACCTCTAAAATCTCCCCATTCACTAGAGCAAGGAAGTAAATGAAAGACAGTATTGTTTTCAGAGAGGCAACAAACAGCCACCAATAAAGCTTTAAAAGTCCATATTATCTTTAGGCAGATACTAAAAAGCAACTGCATGGACTACCAGAGCTTCACAAACTCTAGCTGCAGTCTCAGACCTAATAGTGCTGCTACAACTAATGGATTAAGCCTCAATGCAATTTGACAAATGCATTCACAGATTTGCCTTGGAGCTATTTTAATTCTCTCACTCCCTGTTATAACATGGTCTGAACACACCTAGACTTCCTGATCCGTTATATAGGTAACATCATGCTGTATGGACAGAATAAACCTAAGAAGTAGTATGAAGTAGCTGGCACCATGGAGTCCTTCATAACCAACACATATTCCAGAAGGTGAGAGATAAACCCAAAGATAACTGATGACTACCATTTCAGTGAAGTGTTTAGGGATGCAGGGGACCCATCAGGGGATCTCCTCCAAAGCTCAACACAAACTGTTGGGACTTCAGGTTTAGGTCAGGATAAAGTAAGAGAATTTGGATTTATTCATCTAAAACAACTGAACATCAAAACAAACACATGAAACAATTTTAAGAGAACACCAAACAACAAGACAATGATACCTAAAAGTGAAGGAGCAAATGAGGTGTTTTGTATGAACACCTGATCATTCTGCCTGATGGTTTTTTGAATTGAGGAGCTGGCAGAAGGGAGCAGGGATTAAGAGAACAGAACGAAGTTAGAATTTATGGGGCCAGCGCTGTGGTGTAGTGAGTTAACAGCCACCAACTGCAGTGCAAGCATCCCATATGGGTACTGGTTGAGCTCCAGCTGCTCCACTTCCAATTCAGCTCTCTGCTATGACCTGGGAAAGCAGTCCTTGGGCCTCTGCACCCACATGGGAGACCTGGAAGAAGCTCCTGGTTCCTGATTTCAGATCGACGAGCTCCAGCCGTTGCGGCCAATCAGAGTGAACCACTGGATGGAAGACCTCTCTCTGCCTCTCTTTGTAACGCTTTCAAACACATAAATAAATCTTAAAGAAACTTCCAGACACCTACAGAAAAGCCCTCCTGAGTATAACTTAAGTATATACTAACTATCAAACACAAGTGAAAAAATATCTAAAGTCAGATAAAGAGTTACCTTAAAGGACTAGAAGTTGTCCTCACCCAGGACTGATTTTGTTCCCTGGGTGACTTTAGCAATGTCTGAAGACATTTTAGGTTTTCATAAAAGAGAGGGTAGAGACAGCTTAAAGTCAGAGGTATTGCTAAACATCCTACAGTGCACAGGAAAGAGCCTCAGAACAAAGGATTATCAGAGCTACAACTTGTCAACTGTGTTGAGGTTTAAACATTACGGAGCACAGGGAAAAATACCCAAAACTCATACAAGGACAGAAGGGTTCTTGTTCTTCCTAGCCAGTCTGCTGAAATTTCTTAATGCACAGCACATTAAGTACATACTCAGAAATCTTTGGATTCAATATTGGGGCTAAATCAACAAAAGACTGCATCCAACACTGGTGTTGTATAACACAGTTCAAAAACAGGTTCAAAAGTTTATCTCCAACATGCTGACCTGTGGCCCAACACTTACAGTTCCAAACTGCTTTCAAGTTACCTAACTTTGCTCAAAAGCATAGTCCAAGAATATTTAGCAGAATACAAAAATACCCAGCACATAAAAAGGGAAAGTTCGGGGCTGTGGTGTAGCAGGTAAAGCTGCTACCTGCAGTGCCAGCATCCCATATGGGCGCTGGTTTGAGTCCTGGCTGCTCCACTTCCAATCCAACTCTCTGCTACAGCCTGGGAAAGCAGTGGAGGATGGCCCAGGTCCTTGGGCTCCTGCACCTGCCTGAGAGACCTACAGGAAGCTCCTGGCTCCTGACTTCAGACTGGCACAGCTCTGGCCATCACAGCCAATTGGGGAGTGAACCAGCAGATGGAAGACCTCTCTCTCTCTGCCTCTCCTTCTCTGTGTAACTCTGACTTTCAAATAAATAAATAAATCTTTTCTTTTAAAGGGGAAAGCTCACAATCTCTGGTATCCAATCAAAAATTAACACTCAGGGACCAGTGTCAAATAAACAAATAAAACCTTTTTTTTTTTTAAAGGGGAAAGCTCACAATCTCTGGTATCCAATCAAAAATTAACACTCAGAGACCAGTGTTGTGGCAAGCAGGTAAAGCTACCACCTGTGACACTGGCATCCCATGTGGGCACAAGTTTTGTCCCCACTGCTCCACTTCAATTCAGCTCCCTGCTAATGGCCTGAAAAAACCACTGGAAGATGGCTCAAGTGTTTGGGCCCCTGCCACCCACATGGGAGACCCAAATAAGCTCCTGGCTTCAGCCTGGCCTAACCCTGGCTGTTGTAGCCATTTGAGGAGTGAAACAGCAGAGATCAAAGATCTCTCTCTGGGCCTCCCCACCCTCACTCCCTAACTCTTTCAAATAAATAAATAAATAAATAAATAGTCTTTACACACACACAAAAATCTACCATCCATGTACAGATGCAGGAAAAAAAAAAAAACCTGGAATGAAGAGGAAAAGAAATCGAAACTGACCCAATAAACACAGGAACAATAAATTAGCAGAAAGACACTTAAAAACATAACTATATTCCATAAATTCAAGAAAATACACAGAAGAATAAGCACATAAAAGGCAGTGTTTAAAAAAAATTAAGAACCAGAAGATAAAAACAAGTCTTGGATTAAAAAAATACAATGAATGAGAC